AGAATCATTAAATCAATTTAGTGGGTCAAAACTGGGAGTTAAATTAACATAGAATAGAATGTGAAAGAAAATATCAAAATAATTCACATAAAGTAAAGGTAAGTGTTGCTTTGTTAAACTTCTGTCTTGTTTATAGGTGTGATGTTAGAGTGTATGTTCGTCACTGTGACTTGGTCACAATGTGAAATGTATTTCTTATTGTGGGCCATGGGAATAGTGCTTGAGGGCCACCGTACTCTATTATACCACATCTAAATTACCCCAAACTTAGTACTCAGGCAATAAATAAATGCTAGAATTATGTAGTATCTTTTTTATTTTTGAAGGAGATGTGGTCTTCTTAGGTGATGGATAATTCAGGGTGGGGGAGGTTAAATGTCTTACCCATGGTCACACAACTAGTAAGAAGCTGGTCACAGACTTCTCTGGGGGTAAAATCCAAGCCAATCATATCTGTATCGTAGGCTCTGGGTGCAATTCAGGTGTGACAAGTGTTTGTAGGATGTGCTCAAAATCTTTGAATCATCCCCAAATAGTTTAATACCTTTTAAGATACTCATCAGTTCTTCAGCAGATTAATCAGGGACAGTCTAGGACATCTGGTGTTATCAGAGAGGTAAAATAACAGAAGGAAACCTTCATGAAGAAGTTAAATCAGTAACAGAGGTAGAGAGAAAGGGAAAGAAGCCAGGACAAGGGACGGAGCAGAGCAGAGGAGGCAGTAAGTCCAGCCCAGGAGGGAAAGTCCATAGTAGGACACTGGCAGGGATTTGTTTCAGCACTAAGGACAGCGCCACTGGCCTATCAGTAAAGACGGGGTGGCTGCCGCAGTCTTGTTCAGGACCAAGGGCAGTGTAACCCTAACCAGCACAGAAGTTAGTTAGCCAGAAAAGAACCTTAAGCATCAACCTGGAACCTAGCTGTGCTTATCTGAAAAATGAGATGTGCAACAATATAAAAGTTTCCGCTAAGAATATGCCTACTACTTTGTGCTGAACTACTTCCATATAATTATAAGATAACAAACAATAGCAATAATAACAAATACTTTATTGCATTTGTATTATTCAACACTTTGCATGTGTTACTCGAAGGGGCTATCTTAGTGATCTTGTCTATTCTTTGTTTAAACCAATACACTTGGAAGTATTCATTCCTTTTCCTTAGTTTGAACATGAGGAATGAAACATTTTCAAAGGGGAAAACAAGGCTAAAAAAAAATGAGAGAGGAGACCTTGAAGTATGGGAGAACCAACATAGTATTTAGATTCAAAGGGATCTTGGTAGCCACACTCGATGTGTGGTTTCAGCCATGTCTTAAAGGGAAGGGGGTACTTATACAAAGTGCATGAATACACTGGCAAAATTTCTGGAAGGAACTTACAAGACATGGTAACAGTCCTCTGGGGAACAGAATAAGGATGCTGAACTGAGAATGTTACTTTTGAATTTTATTTTTAAAAATTAATAGGCAAAAACTGACCTTTGGGAGTACAGTTATATACCTTTTAACCTATATAAAAGCTACTTTTCAAAATGACTTTTATATAAATATAGAGGTAAGGCAAAAGGAAATGTGCAACGCATGTAGGGTATAAAAATAATGTAGTGAATCCTGTGTACTCATTAACAACTTTAAGAACATGACTTCTTGTCCTAAAAGCCCCCTGTGTGCACTTCCCACCCTATTCCTCCCCTCTGAGAAGTAGCCTCTGTCCTGAATGTCGAACCCATCGTTCTCTTACTCCCTTTACTACATGCCTTTGTATTTCTAAATATGTTTTAAAACATATTTTTGCAAGGTTGACTTTTCTATAAATGAAATTATACTATTTTCATAGTCAAGTAACATTTTTTCTCACTATTATGATTCTGAGATTGAGTCATTAATAATGTTAGATGTGATTCATTCATTTATTTACAGAATAACACTCCATTGTATAAAGAAATCACAATTTACTTATCAATTTTACTACTGGACACTTTGGATGTTCAGAGCTTTTTGTTTTCTCTTTTGCTAGTAAAACAGTGCTGCTATGAACATTAGTCTAGACATATGCTTGAATATAGAATGTATGGGGCATAGTCATATCCTAAAATTTACTAGATAATGCTTAATTCATTTCTGAATTGATCATACCAATTTAGACTCCCAGAAGCAGTATATGAATGTTATTGTTAAACTTAATATTTTTAGATGTTTATATTTGTTTCAGTTCTATAGATGTGAAATGATATTTAATTTTAATTTTAATTTCCGTTTTCTTTGTTTCTAATGAGATGAGCATATATCTGTGTTTTGAGTCATTATTCTCTGGTGGGGGAAACATTCTGACCTTTTCTCCATTTTTCCACTGAAAAAACTATTTTGCATATTGATTGACCAATTTCTTTGTGTATCCTACACTTATATGTATTGCTAATATATTTTTCTATTTTGTGTCTTTTCTTTTAATTTTTTGTATCGATCAGAACTTTTTGATAATTAGAATTTTTAAATGTTAAAAGACAAGGTTTAAATTCCTTTCCTATATTTGTATTGTTTTCTATACACCCAAGGTAATAAAGACACATTTCCATGTTGTTTTCTAAAACTTTAGAAATTTTTTACTCCACATTTATATGTTAGTTCACCTGAAATTGATTTTTTGTATATGTGGTATGATGTAGGTTCTTAATTTCTTTTTCTTTTTCTGTGAAGATAATTATCCAAGAACCATTTATTGAAAAGTTTATCCTCCTCCCCATTGATAAGCAATACATCCCATAAGTCAAGTTTGTATACGTGCATGGGTTGATTCCTGGGCTGTATTGCATTCCGTCACTCTGATGGTTTACCTCTGACACTTAATTTTGACTGGGGATGGTTCACTGAGAGGCTAGAACAACACAAGAAACTTAAAATGCAGATGCATTCTCAGGGAAGCAAATTTTGCTTAGCGTACAAATGGGAAGAAACCTAACTTCCTCTTCCCCTGTTTATTACTCTGCCCTTCACCCACATTGGCTTTCCACCACGCACCTTCCTGACTCAAGATGTTTGCACTGACTTCCAGCACCTCGGTGTCAACTCATTCTCTCTCTTCAGCGGAGAAGAAACTCAAACATCAGCTCCCTGCTCCAAGGGCTTCTCCGATTGCCCATTCTAGAATAGCCTCCTCCAGATGTTGCCAACCACATCAATTCTGATATTCGCTTTTTCCTTAGCAAGGAGCCACCCAAATTTTCTCATTTCTATATTATTTGTCCTTTTGTTGTTGTTGTTAGAGACAGGGTCTCACTCTGTCACCCAGCCTAGAGAGCAATGACACAATCATAGTTCACTGCAGCCTCGACTCCTGAGCTCAAGCGATCCTCCTGCCTCATCCTCAATCTCTTGAGTGCATGCACTTGCCAACACACCCGGCTTATTTTTGTATTTTCTTTTTTCATTTTGGTACAAACAAGGTCTCACTGTGTTGCCCAGGCTGGCCCCAAGCTCCTGGCCTCAAGAGACCCTCCCGCCGGAGTCTCCCAAAGTCCTGGGATGACAGGCATCAGCCATTGTACCTGGGCTACACATGTCTTTTTGTCTGCCTTCTCAACCCCTCAGTACCTAGAAATTCCAAAAGGTCATGGACATTGGTTTCATTCTCTGTTTTATATCAGGCACCTGGTACATAGTAGCTACTCAATAAAATTTGCTATTGAATACATATCTTAAATGGTAAGTCAGAAATAAGCCCAAATATTCTATTCTCCAGTTGCCTAAAAATCAACTTGAATTTTCAGTATTAATGGCCAAGGCAAGGGACCTTACTTTCACAACTCCATCCCTTTGAACAACTCGCTGCCTGTGAGCTTCAGTGCATCTGAATGGGCAAAACGATGCCAAATTTTGCAGGGTATTAAAAATAAATTGTTCCGTATACGTTTAGAAACTCAACCCAGTACAGGGTCACATAAATGATGCTTAACATATATAGTTCCTTTCCTTAAAAAACATATTTTATAAAAGAAAACCAAACCAAACCAAACAAACAAACAAAACCCTGCTACATTATCTTTCTGGAAGGAGTTGTCTTTAGAAATATTCAAGGAGGAAATTTCTCATTGGTCTTTTTAGAAAACCAATTACTGCTGGCACTTTTTTCTAATAAACAGTGAAAATTTTCCTCCAGAAATTCCACCCAACTAAGACAGGTATATTTTCAGAATAATGGAACTATGAGTCTTCCTTTATTTAAAGTAGTGCAGACAACAGTTAGGGAGGAGGAATAATTTCCCATGTTCTATTGCACAGTAGGGCGACCATGGTTAACAATATTATATCGTATGTTTTCAGGTAACTAGGAGACAGGATTTTGAAGTTCTCACTTTGTAGTTCTCACTACATTCACAGAAAATGATAAATGTGTGAGGTGACCAATATGCTAAAGACCCTGATTTGATCCTTACACTGTGTATACATGTTATCGAAGAAGCATCACAATGCACCCTATAAATATGTACAATTATTATGTCAATTACAAATAAAATACAACTTTAAAATTTTTTAAAATAAAAAATAGTGCAAATGACCCCTGGGGTCTTGAGAAACTTTTGGAAAATAAAATGAAAAAATTTCAACATGGAAAGAACCACTTAAGGTCATCAAAAGTAAGGAAATAATCATCATTCCTCATCTTATAAAGCACCATCTCAGCTACTGCTGTGCTCAGTATACATAAAGACTAAGGACTTCGTGGGAATAGATTTCACCTCCATTTTGCGGGTAGGGGACTGAGGCTTGTAAAGGTTGAGGGTCTCGCCTAAGAGCACAGATGTCGTAAGCACAGGTGTAAGTTTTCTGTTTCCAGTTTTGCAATTCCCAGTTGCTGCTCACGATTTCTCCTGGCAGTGGTCCGCCCACAGCAAAGTCACAGCAGCAGCAGGGGCGTCTAACCATACACGCTCTTCCTCTTTTACCGTGTACTTCTACATGGCCCAGGGCCTCTAAAAACCTTTCTTTCTTCACACAGATGGAGAGGTCTCTGGCTTTGGCCAATATGTCCAGAAACCAGGAGTTTGTCCTGCTGGGCCTGTCTGCCAGGCTGGGCGTCAGGGATGCCCTGTTTGCCATCTTCCTGACCCTCTACCTGCTGACACTCCTGGAGAACACGCTCGTCATCTGCCTGGTCTGCAGGCGCAGGGAGCTCCGCAAGCCCATGTACTTCTTCCTGGGCAACCTCAGCTGCCTGGAGGTGTGCTACGTGTCTGTGACCATGCCCAGCCTGCTGGCGGGGCTCTGGGCTGGACCCTGCCCTGTGCCCTTCACGGCCTGCATCGCGCAGCTTTTCTTATTCGTCTCGTTCCTTGGTACCAAGTGCACCCTCCTGGCAGCCATGGCCTATGACCGCTACGCGGCCATCTGCCGCCCACTGCACTACCCGCTGCTCATGCGGCCCCGGGTCTGCCAGGGGTTGGCCTTGTCCTCGTGGCTTGGGGGGCTGCTGGTCTCGGTGGGCAAGACCACATGCATCGCCAGCCTGTCCTACTGCGGCCCCAACGTCCTCAACCACTTCTTCTGCGACGTCTCCCCTCTGCTCAACCTGTCCTGCACCCACGTGGCCCTGCCGGAGCTGGTGGACTTCCTCTCGGCCATCGTCATCTTCTGGGGCTCCCTCCTGGTTGCTCTGGCGTGCTACGCGGCCATCGGCGTGGCGGTGCTCCGCATGCGGTCCGCGGCGGCGCGCTGCAGAGCTGCGTCCACCTGCGCCTCGCACCTGCTGGTCATGGGCGCCTTCTACGCCCTGGTCCTCTTCGCGTACTCCCGCCGCAGCCGCCTGGAGCCCACAGACCTCCACAAGGTGCTGTCGGTCGTCTACACGGTGGCCACGCCGCTGTGCAGCCCGGCGGTCTACTGCCTGCGGAACCGCGAGGTGCGCGCGGCGCTGCGGAGCGCGCTCGGCCCGCGCCGTCTCCACGTCCCGCCCGGCAGACGCGCGCGTCAGGCTCCGGGGCAGATGGGAAGCTGTAGGAAGATATTCTCAACGTAATGTGTAAAGACTTTCTAAAGCGACATAAATGGTGGGTGCAGGGCGCACCACCTGAAGACTGGGCACGCTTGAAGCTCCGGCAGAGCGGGATAGGGAGGGGGGCAGGGGCAAGATATGTAACCCTAACAATATTTGTACCCACAGAATTTTGGAAAAAAATAAAAAAAATTAAACTATTAACGAAATTTTTAAAAAATGTCATGAACAGGCAGGCAGGTTTTTGATGAAGAAATGGAACTTGCTCACTTACAGAAAGATGGGCAAACTCCCTGTGAATTCAGGAAATGAAAACAGCAGTGGAACAGAAAACAGCAACGCACCCCTCGCTTAATGAAAACTGTTGTGAGCGTGTGTGTCAGCTCAGGTGCACAGATCACATGTATGAGAATGTGATACATGTGATACATATTTCACAATATTGCCAAATTGTGAAATTTGAAATTAACATTGTTATTTTGGAAGTGATTTGGAATAACTCAAATGTCCATCAACAGGGATTATTTAAATATATCCACACTGTGGCACAATCTGTTAAAGAGATTAAATTAGACGTGTGGATACAGACATGGGGAGATCATCTAGGTATGTTGTTTAGTTACAATTTTCTAAAAAGCAGCACACGAGCATGTCAAAGTGTTGTGAAGCAATACTGATAATAATAATTGTAATAGTTGTTTATGTTCATGTATATCAAACAATTATTAGCAGTGTTTTTAGGGATGAGATCACAGGGGACTCATATTTTATATGTTTGAATATTTTGCACTAAGCTTGTATTATTTTAAAATTGAATAAGTAAATGTATTATAAAAGACAGCAGAAATTTTAAAAATTATCTTCTACAGAATGACTTGCTCATCATACTCGAAGACTTTTATTTTTATTTTACTTAATAACTCATGTCAACCATGCCTCAAGGGAAATGAGTGTGTCCTGGTATTGCTTGTGGGAGTATATATTGGTACATTTTAGAAGAGAAGTTTGTTAGTATATACAAACAGCCTTGAGAATCTGAATGCCCTTACACTTACCAATCGCACTATGGGAATTTATCCTAAAGCAAAAAGCGAAAGATGGGCAAGGTATTGAACAATGCAGATTCCCATTCAGAACGATTTGCCCAAAGATAACCCAATTACTCATTAAAATAAAGGTAATAGAAACAAAAGGCCAATAAACTTGTGGAATGATGTTTAATCTTCATCACTAGTAAAGAAATAGAAATGAAAATAAAAAGATTCACTTACACAGATCAAATTTTTAAAAATTATTTGATAAGACCCAGCATTGATTAAATGTGGGGAAAAGCACTCTTTAAAACTGTGTGGGAACTGCACGAGGAGGTGGTGTTTTTGGAAAGTTCACAGTCACTTTGACACAGCGTTTACCTGTTTATCTTTGTGCCATAGATAAGGGGGTTGTCTTCCGTGCTGCCCGCCGATGTTTCTAGGCGTCTGCCTTCCAGACGCATCGAAGCACTACTTTCTGGACCATCTGGGAGTGGGAGAGGTCACCTGATTAGTTTTGGCCGACAAGTAGTGATGTCACTTGGGGGAAAATACATTTAATTCCTGGTGCAAGAGCCTTCAGCCCTCTCCTTTCTCTCTTGCACAGTGGCTGGCAAAATTCGAAATGATGCTTGCTTCTTCCGCACAAGTTCCTGACGATGGTTAACAGAACCCTCCCCACATGCCGGCCTGCAGTGGACATGGAGCACAAGAAACTGATTAAACCTATTAAATTAAGACACTCAGAATTCAGCAGATTCTCTAGAAGCAGTAGATATTATTATAGCCCTAAATCATTGGACACATGGACATCAACATGACATTCCCTTCTTTCCGTGAGTTATTCATTTATTTATTCAACCAGGTTTACCAAGCAGCTAATACATACTGGGCACTGTTCCAGGCATGCGTACTGAGCAGGACTGACGAGGGCCACGCTTCTGTAGTGCTCACGTGCTGGCCGCTACATCCACCTCGTGTGAAGTGAGGGCCACGGAAGCCTGGAGGGAGGAGAACTGCATTGTGCCTGAGTTTCAGGGCAGTTAGGGAAAATTCCTAAAAGGAGGCCTGAAGCTGGGCCTGCATTCAAAGGCATAACAAGGAAGGGCATGGAATTCCTAGCAGATGGAACAGCACGTGCAAAGTCAGCCAGATATGCAGAGTAGGACGGGTCATGGTAACGTTGAGTTTAGTGTGGCTGAAACCAAAACATAATTTGGGATTTCGAATTCCCAGTTAAGGATGTTCAGCTCTGTTTTACAAACAAAAGAGAGATTATGGAGACTTTTTAATATTTCAAAATAAATTTTCTATTACAAAAGCAATACATGCTTACCACAGAAAATTGCCAAAAGGCAGCAAAATGAAAACGAAAGCAAATCACTCCCAAAGTCTTTCACACAGTGGCGACCATTTTGCGGTAAAGTATTAATTTCCAAATGCTCCTCTTTATACATATATACACACGTATTGCATTTAAAAAATTGAAACATAATTGCACTGTATGTGCTGTTTTATCACCTGATGTTTCCACATTGCAATACACAACTTACATCTTTTGTGGTAGTAAATATAAGGTTATTTTCCAGGACCCCATTGTCTGCAGTTTATTTTAACTGATCCTCTATGGTTGAATAGAGAGTTCTTCCAATAGTTCTCCACTGAAAGTGCAAAATGCTATGAACATTTTTGCAACTACATTGTTGCAGACATGCTAAAATATTTTCTTAGCAAGAAATTCTTACAATGGTGTTCTAAGTCAAAGTTCATGCACACTCGGAATTTTGATGCATATTGCCAAATTGTCCTCCAGAAACATTGTACCAATTTCAGTTAATAACTTTTATTTTTACTGAAATTTACAAAAAACATTCTCACTTTCCTTGAATTTTGGGGTGTGTGCATCCTCAAATACATCTTATGCAAACATATGGAGACATATGCAAGAGTTTCTCTTATTAAATGTTTTTAGTTAAAAAAATACAAAAATATGGAAAATTTATTTCGGAACTATTAAAGATTACTAGTCTATATTATGTTGTCATGGGCGTTTATTTATTAAAATTTTACTTTGGGAAAAATTTTAAATTTATCTTTTCATTACAAACATAGTATGCCTTTATGTCCATGGATAGAGATATAACTAATTCTTGCTTTTTAAATAGCTTCGTAAGAGTTCACAGTATGGAGCAGCTATAATTTATTCAGTCATGATCTTATTGATGAATGTTCACATTCCAGTTTGGGTCACTTAAAGTAATGCTATCATAAACAAACTTATACATAAATTCCTGTAGGTTGATGCTTTATTTTCCCTATGAAATACCTCCAAAAGTGGAGGTGTTGGGTGAAAGTACAGGCAACAATTTGAAAATTTTAATAGATATTACCAGGTTGCTCTCCAAGGAGGTTCTAACAATTTATGCCGCCACCAGCAGCAATGTGTGAGAGATTGTGCCCACGTCTCCAAAGCATCTTCAGCCGTAGGTGTTAACAGTCACATATTATTTGTTGCAATTAGCGTTTTCCTCCAGTACCAATGATGTTTCTTATTTTCACTGGTCATTTGCCTTGTTTCATCTACAAATTTCCCATTTATATTGTCCCTCATCTGCTCTCACATATATCTTTTTTTGAGACAGAGTCTCGCTCTGTAGCCTCAAACTCCTGGGCTCAAGCCATCTTCCTGCCTCAGCCTCCCAAGTAGCTGGGACTACAAGCATATGCTTCCATGCCTGGCTAATTTTTTTCTGTTTTTTGTAGGAGGTGGGACCTCACTCTTGCTCAGGAGGGTCTCCAACTCCTGGCCTCAAGCCATCTTTCTGCCTCAGCCTCCCAGAGTGCTAGGATTACAGATGTGAGCCACCGCGCCTGGCCACATATATATTTAAGTATCTTAAAAATATATCTTAAAAGTAGGAGGTTGACCACTTTGGACAATAGTTTGTCAATTCCTCAAAACATAGAATCATACAGATTTCAAAAGATCATATAGTTAGGATATGATCCAGCAATTCCACATCCATTTATATACTCAAGAGAACTGGAAATATATGTACACACAAAAAGATAGTCACAACGGTTCACAGCAACATTCGTTCACAATAGCCAAAAAGTGGAAACAGCCCAATGTGCATCAAATGGCAAATGGACAAACAAAACATAGTCTATCCGTACAATGGGATATTATTCATCCCTAAAAATGAATTAAGCACTAATACATTCTATGATGTGCATGAACCTAAAAAACTTGATGCTTGGTGAAAGAAGCCAGTCACATAAGGCCCCATATCACACGATCGCACTCCTATGAAATGTCCAAACTGGCAGATCCACGAAGACAGAAGGTAGATTGGTGGATTGTTAGGGCTGGGGTGGTGTTGGGAATGACTTCTAATGCATGTGGGGTTTTTTGGGGGGTGAAAAAACGTTCTGGAACTAGATAGTGGTGATGGTTGCACGGTTTTGTGAACATACTAAAAAACACTGTGTACATGTGCACACGTTTACAGGGCGAAATGTATGGTCTGTGAATTATGTCTCAATTAAAATGTAGAGTATGGATGACCTGAGATTGCCCCATGCCCTGGCCAACTGGTCACCCTCAGGACCAGCGCAGCATTCTACGGAAAGCGGCCTGGACCTCCCTGTTCCGCAGGCAGTAGATGACGGGGTTGCACATGGGCGTGGCCACCGTGTAGATGACTGACAGCACCTTGTTGAGGTCCCTGGCTTCCATGCGGCTGGGCCGGGCATAGATGAAGAGCGTGGCAGAGTAGAAGACGCTCACCACGACCAGGTGGGAGGCGCAGGTGGAGAAGGCTTTGCTGCGGGCGGCAGCTGATGGCATGCGGAGCACAGTCCTCCCGATGGCCACGTAGGAGGCCACGGCCACGAGCAAGGAGCCCCAGAGGATGACGATGGCCGAGAGGAAGTCCACCAGCTCCGTCAGGGCCACGTGGGTGCAGGACAGGTTGAGCAGAGGGGAGACAT